GCTACTCTAAAATGTATGAACTTTCTTCGAGTTCATGCGCATTTGCGAACACTCGGAGTTTGTGTACTGTTGTTTTTCGCTACGTCTCACTTTAAGGGGACTTGATTTTGGTGAATCAAATAATGCAAAACTGCGATCACCCGTGGCGTTCACAGTTTGCCTTGTCGTCCAACACTCACCACTCAGTGAGCACTCATTCAAATGAGCGGTCCATTCCTTTACCTTCAGAGTGTGCCGAGTATTTTGAATTCTCTCGGCCAACTCATGTAGTTTCTGCGTTTACAATTGATTATTTCAAGCACAAACCGCATGAAGCTTTGATAAGTCCCCGGTCCATGCAGTCGACCGTGCATAACTTCGAGCTGAGCACAAAGGCGCGTTTTGAGCGGACGAAAACTAACCACATAGCTCGAGTCCCGTGTGGTCGTAAACCAATTCCCCAAGGATTTTATACGCGCATTGCTACCCTGGTTCATACTCAAACGAGACTTACTACGTGAAACGGTGTTCATGTGGCGTTACAAGCATAAATCACCATTATATTTCCAATTCTGGAAAAAAAGAGTTTCTTCAGTCATGAGCGTCACCGCGGTGGAACCCGGTTACGTTCTAGCCCTTGGACCGGGCTCCATTGAGAGCAATGTCTTTCAACAAAGATTTATTTGTTCCACGTGAGTGTGTATGTGTGAAGATACTGAATACTTTCTGACGAATAACACCTTTATTTCTGACGGAGAAAGGGGAAGTTGTTCAAAGTTGTTACACTGTCGCAAAAACGGATGTATAACTATTGCGGTGTGCGTGCCATACACCGCCCGAAATCAAGTTGCGCGTCAACTTGGTGTTCTCATCCCAAAAGATTTTTTGGCGAAAGTTGACGAACCAACGAATAGGGGGGTGAGTCCGGTAGTGGGTGTAATCCAAAAAGTTAGGGGAACGCGGAATTCGTGGAACAATGCGCAAAGACTGGAATACTTCCCGTGTACTATTTTTGCTTATACACATGTTACCAGAATAGCCTAATACGAAATTGGTCCGTGAATTTTGCAATCAGAACTAGATGATACGTTAGAAAAGACTACCGTTTGGTTTATACTAACTCAATAAATGCCCTTACTTCGTTTATTGTTTACCGATTAAAGCAATGTGCAATAAACTTTCAGAAAGGGGGTCACGGCCATAGAAAAGCTGTCTGGAGAAATACAGACAATAAGAAGATCGGTGGCGATGGCGGGGTTCGAACTCAGCCCCCCCCCCGCCCCCCGAGGTGGTTATTTTGATCCGAAGTAACCGGTGCTATTTTCCAGAAACGAATCCGCCAAGCGGTCCCTGATTTAACCAATGCATCATGTGCAACAGATTACAAACCTATTTTCAGTCACGACGCAGAGGAGCACAGAGGACAACTTGAAGAATTTCCCCTACACCATGTTCGAGACCGCTCAAGCTTTCGTCGGTCAGAATTCAAATCCCGTAGCTATAGGCTCTCGATGGAAAGGATTAAAGCGGTCCCAGAAAAGACAAAAACAACTATAGAAATCGAACAGAGAGTGATGATGCTGTTGTGACAGTCCGATATGACTACGAATCACTGAAAACGAGCTTGTTCGCTACTCTCTGTTTTGTTTGAGATGTCGAAATGCCTAACCAAATCGATGCCAAAAGTGTTCCACAATTCAACGAGGTGATCAATTATTTCAGTGGATTTCTACAAAATTTAGTGGAATCTATGGGGCGAATTCAATGATTGACGCATAAAGGGGAATTGTAAAAGTGAACTAGCGAACAACAAGCCTCTTATGCTCACAACAAGCAGCCCTTAATAAAAGCTCCGATTTCGATCTTCGACGTGTTCAATGTGGTGGTGGTGGCGTATTGGTTTAGTCCCTATCACAGGCGTGCTTTGGGCCGTATGATCCGAGATTCGAGCCCCCCCACCACCACCCAACAACTTTGGTGATAGGCAGCTGTGCTGTCGTCCGATTCAATACCACGCCTAACCTATCGGGGTCTATGTAGTTCACCACTCCAAGTCCGGCGGGGCTTAGGTTACCAGTTTCCATCAACGAACAGCAGTAGGTCCTGGTGACTATGGGGTTCACCCAGTTTGATATTCACGACACTTAGGTGTGTGTCAAATGATTTCTTGTTGACCGCATGGAACAGTGCACTGATCTGTCTCAAAATGAACACGTATGGTATCTGAACCAATTGTTGTACAGCGGGATCAGTAATAGTTCCTGAAATGAATCAACCTTATGATGATGAGAAGGGGCAGGAAAAGCTCTGCGTATCTTTTTTGTGTTTCTTCTTCTCAAAGGTACAATACAAGTTTGCACTTATGATCGTGGAGTCCATGGAACGGCAATTGTTACGGCCCAGATATGCTAGCGTGAGCTAGTGTGGAATTCTATAGTTCACAATACCCCAGCCGGGGATCGATCCGGTTGTGGCTTTTTATGGCAGACTGACTGTTCACGTTTGCTATTTGTTTATCTCCATCACGAGGAGATTGCAACTTGATGTGGTGTGATGGCTTGTGCCTCTGTGACCCTGCGAGCTACACAGAATGGCTTTTCATAGCTGTAGATCGAACTATGCCTGAAAGGTCAATGGGTAGAGGCCAGACGAAGCCCAGTCTCAAAAAGTCAGCGGCTTTGGCACCTCCTAGCTTCCTTCGTCTATTCACTATCGCCCCTGGAAGGGTCACTCCACCAAATAAACACGGGGAGAGGCAGTTTACCGGTGAAAAAACAGCTATACCAGCTTAAGAGCAGGGTACTTGGGGCTTCTTAAAGACGGTGGCAGGAGTCCTCGGACTCCACTGGACAGCTACCGCCCGCCCAAGCTGGGCAGCCCCTAACAAATAAAGAGCATTCCCATCCACATTCCCCTTGTCTTATTGGGTGCATGAGACTATGAGCCAATCCCGAACAGCGGACCGACAATCAATGTACCAGCGAACAATACACAGAACCGAAACCCGAAGGCCTTGCGTGACAAGTCTCTAGCATCTCTCACATGGGTGCTTCATTCACGCTCCTGCGTTGGATCTACACCCCACTGCCTTGTGGGTAAGACTTTTGAGTCGAAGGCTCCCAAAGACAAAACCCTTCGTCGGTGTGGGTTGCCGCGAAGTATGCCTTCACACAAAGTCTTAGGCACCTATTTGGAGAAACCACTTACCCATCGGTTTAGGTTATTTATTTCTCTGACTGGGAACTGCCGATCCTTCGGGTTACGAACCAGCGAATCGTTACTCCCCATAAGCGCCGGTCATATTTTTCAATTAAACAAACCGCCTGTTATAATTCCGGTCAATCCGGATCTGATGATTCCGCTCCCCGCAGATATTCCTGGCAGATCAGCAGTTTCGAACGGACTTCAAGCTCTAGTCTGCAAGCTGAGGTGGCCATCTGATACACAGCTTAATCCCGTCGTTATTCCATCGTATCATGTTGCAGAGCACATGCGTCAGATCCTCCCCGTAGTGATCAGAAGCACCGGGAGAATAGTTCAAATCTAACAGTCTGGCTTTTTGGTTGATTTGGTAGAACTCAGCAGATTCCAGGATAAATCCAGCCTGACAATCCGCCTTGATTATATTTGTTGACGTGTTCTCGAGCCTATGCAGGTTAGCCGAGTAAGCAAATAGGACAAGGTCAACGTTGCCGACCGGCATCATCTTGCAGCTTTACTGCAAAGGTTCACAAGAGACTTCCTCCATTTGTGTATTGTATGGTAGCCCTTTGAGTGGCCGCTTCCCCTTCCTGAAAATTGTATCTTTGTACATTCAATAAAAGGAAGTAAAACGAAAAATAAAATAAAAGAGAGTAATAATCCCCCATGCCCGACCGTGAAACTTCTCACATTTTCACCAAACCTAATACGCGCAACCGTTTCCCAAATCGTGCATACCTGGTTCGACCTGGGACGGTGACACGCATATTTCGTTCGAACAACAGATACGAATGGTGATGGTGTTGTGAGGTACTGCTCACATTTGTGAGTAGTATGGAAAACGGTTGGTGTTTTCTTTCGACGACCAAAGCTAAGAAGACCACTGAGGGCAAATTGCTGTATCTCAAAGAATAACTATCGGTTGTTACATTCAGTACCCGGTGTACGGCCAGGAACTGCGATGGTATGTTTCAAATGAGATTTCTGTTATATGTATGCTAAATTAGTGATACCGAACTGTTATCTAAAATAAACAATTTCCCTCGACCGAGCACCGCCTTTGTGGAATTATACCCGTGGTAGTGAAAGCTTTTGTTCAATTCTATAGAACGTTTTGTTATAGGACAGTGAGTGGGATTGCGACTGAAGCGTACGTATGAAGATTCCCCGTGAATGAACACACCTGGACCATATAATGCATAGAATATCCGAACGGAGCGCGCCAAGGTCAGATAACAACCCGTCGGTTGTACGGAGGTCGATATGTAGACAACCAACCGTGTTTGTTGTATTGATTCCTTCGCAACTCGTACACAGACGGCTCTCTAAGTAAACAATTCAGCTAAATTGTTCCACTCGTGAGCATCACCAATTCAAGTGTGTGTGCGCGTGTGTAGAATTTTGTACAAGATAATGCGATTAAAACGATAACGAACAAAAACTATACGTATCACGGGTTTCGTTGTGCATTTCGGTTTGACTGCGCGGTTTATCATCGGACCAGGATTGGAAAACCGTAGGGAATTAAATTAGGTAATAGGATCATGGAGCATACGGTGACTGATGTGGGAGAAACACACGATACGATGGAATAACTGCCAGTATATGATTTTAAAAACCAACACTACACCACATTGTATATCGCATGGCAACCATTTGACTCACAGCTTTTCCCCCTCCCGGAAAAATTGTATCCTCGTGATTTCTTCCAACCCAGAGGCGCAACCGTGAATGAGACACGATGCAATAGAGGGAAACTGGTCATGCCAAGCCTGCTCATCTGAATTCTATGTGATAACGAATTCTCGAACGAATCATTACCAAACACACGACGACTTACCTCACAGTTGCTTACACACTCGCACCAACCAACCAGGGTAAAATTACGTAAACATTGACAATCGAAGACACTTAGACGATGAACATCATCCACGCGCAAATTTAGGGTCTCGCAACCATAAAGCAGAACTAACCACACACTGAGGGCGGTATACACGATCGACAGCTTCAACGAAGCATCACGTCTGCACCAAAGGTGTTTCAGTTCTGCGTACACTGCCCATGTCTGGGAAACGCGAGCGGTTACTTCCTTGACCACGCTACGGGTTGAATTGAAGCCCTATCAACTCCGGACTCGAACCCTATTCTGATGAATTCTGCTAAGCCTGTCATGACGAACGGAGTAGGGTCACACACGGCCTTGCACAGTACGTAATGCATGTACCAAACCAAGCACCGTATCCCCCATTCTCAATATCTAGCAGGTACCCTCGATTTTAAATCCTGAATCGGAAATATATTGACAAAACGAACAAGAAAGATGAAATCAATTGACATCTGCACCCCAGCCCCACCCTCACCTCGAATACAATCTACGATTCACACGAATGTCAGTCCAGATAGGTTTGCTTGCGATCCGGATGAAACGTAACAACAACAATAACAAAAAAAACAGTCTGTGTTTCGGATAGAAAAAAAGTAACGCGGAACCATCCCCGTGAGCAATAGAATAGTTTGCACACCTTGACAGAACAAAACACTTACCACGACATCGGTAGCCTTGATAGAAGATGCCCTGCAGTAATTTGTTACAAATCGAGCAATAGGTGGGTCGTTTGAATGTGAACATTTCGAAATTGTATCCTTTGGTTTTTGCGCCCGGTGGACAAAGATTGGATCTGATTGTTGATTAAGCCGGAGAGGGAGGGCGAGCGGGGACGAGAGAGACACGAGAGAGGAGAAAACAGACGAGTTAAAGCATGTGCTGATTGATGGAGGACTGGTGGAAAGTGGTTTCGGAAAAGGACACATTGCGCATATTGCACACAGACGGAGTGCACATTTTGGTCGTAAGAAAGTGCGTCAGCACAACAATAACAACAACAATAGAGAGAGAGGGTGGAGTAACAATTGCGATCTTTGTGTCAATATTCTCGAACTGCCCAGCATAATCGAATGCAACGGACAAGCAGATCCCATACATTGGCGTGTTTACTTGAGTGTGTTCCGAGAGAACCCATCGTAGCTTTTGTGCTTCGCTACTCTCTCAGCTACCTTTGACTACCACTTTTGCATCTACAGCACATATCTGTCAAATCCCGAAACGGATTTCGCACACTTTATCCTCCACATCTGACACAATACGTGTTCCATAGAGTTTTGATAGATGGAGTTACTGAGGGCAGACAGGGATTACGTAATCCACCACTTCAAGTCCCAGAACACGTTCCCGGTCCCCGCCTTCAAACCACTCATGAGGACAACTGGATATACGGAAACTGGTGTCAGAACATTGAGTACTGGTGACTACGGGGACTACTCTTTCGGCTATTCATCCTCGTNTGATTGAGTGACAGATGCTGTCCGCAACCACACACACACACACACACACACACACACACGTAATCACGCCATGAGGACTGACTCCACTAAAATATTGATCGGCTCCAACCAATCAGGTGTTAGTATTGAACTGTCCACGCTGATTGATTCGTTTATTGTTTTCATGCCTACCTGAACGCGTTCGGATATCGGGTGAAACTTCAGCCAGTTATTGGCCCGCCTGAATTCCTGCAGGGCGAAACAGGGCTTCCTCACCGGTCAACGGACCGCCTACGTTTACGTATTAGGAATAGAATACCTACTAAATTTACCGATTATATATATATATACTTGGGCTTCCATGGGACACGACAATCACACTGTAGAATACGAAAAACACAGAGGGAAAGAGTTCCACGTTCATCAACGCAACCAATCTGACCACAGTTCGAACAAACGTCAAGACTGTGTTGTTCCTGGCAGTGCATCAACCGAGCGGCTTTGTGAACCGACTGAATGACCCGAAAAAAAAATCAACTATGCGTTGGTGCAAAAAAGTAATTCAATTTCGGCAAAAAGGAATAAAAAGCATTAGTTGAAGAAAAAAAACTCCATGGCCATTATCAATGTGACAGACTAACAACTGGACATCAAAACTAGAATATACGCATGCTACCCCAGTGAGATGGTCGATGTGTTTCCATATCGAGATTTCACGGTCCACAACTTTACTGTCAAAATTAAACCTTAGCATAGCACGTTCTACTCACACTGTCTGTGGGGCTATGACGGAGTTGGCGAGCTGCCGGCGAGGATAGTGGAATCGATTTACTCCCAGGTGGCAAGAAGTCTGATCTAGAGTATGTAGACCGCATTGTGCTGCTAAGTGAAGATCCAGGGAGGCTAAAAGCATTTCTGGATAACTTGAATGCCAGTGTAGCTCTGTTTCAAACGCGTTTTGCATCTTCAAAGGGCACAACTGCTACAAGACTGGGTTGATCCAGTCCCCAACCTCACTCTAACTGGAGAAGTAATAGAGCAAGTGGATAAGTTTTGTTACGTGGGCAGCTACATCTCACCCGGTGGATGCATTACCGATGAAAAGTCAGCTCGCGTACAGAAGGCTAGGTTCACATTTGCCAAGATCAGACATCTGTGGCGCCGTCGCGACATCCGGCTGTCTGTGAAGGGTCGAGTGTATGCCTCGACAGTTCGGCCAGTCCTGTTTATGGAGCAGAAACTTGAACATTAAGAAAACAGGACAAAGATAGACTGTCGGTGTTTGAACACCGCTGTCTACGCTGCATTGCACGAATCTGGTGGGGTAGCCGGATGAGCAATGCTGAGGTTGGACGCAGAGTTTTGGGTATCCGCGGTCGCCCACTGGAGAAAGTGGTCGACCTCCATAGATTACGTTGATTGGGACGTGTGTTACGCATGTCACCAGATAGGTTACCACAGCGAGCGATGTTCACCGAGGCAGACACCGAGTGGAAAAAGCCAAGGGTGGTCAAGCTAAGACCTGGCACGAAGGTATGAAAACCCTGACCAGGAGACTGGGTCACAGGTCCTGTTAGGCTCCCTGGCTGGGGACTTTGGGATGATCATACCCGATGGTTAGAGACATTGAGTGATATGGCTGAGTGTCGTAAACAGCGGCGTTCGAGCATCTTATAAATTTCTCTTTAATTCTACTTGCAACTATTCCTACCTTCCTCCTACTGCTCATCCAAATGGGCAGCCAAAAGACAGTAACCAAAACCGGCGCACGAAAGTGCATGGTTAATGGTTGTACAATCTGAATCTCATCATTATCAATCGGAATCTGAGCTACCGGTAGTTAGCTGATCTACGAGGGTGAACCACATCCAGTATCCAACCACTCATGGAGGTGTACGAACTGCCTCCAGGACAAATGGAAATACGGACACCGGTTCCGTGGGCCGATGGGAGTGAAACGACCAATCTCAGCATTTTTCCGTTTTTACAACTACGAATCATGGCTTATTGTGTGCCGGTTTTGGTTGTTGCCTCATGGCTTGCCACTTGGATGAAGGAATGAAAGGAAGATTAAAATGTTCAAATACGTGTCAGCGAGAGAAAAAGGAGAGTTCATGAAGACTAAGTTTGCAGGGAAAATGGAAAAGATGCACGAGCACCACTTTTGACAATACCACTCAGTGCCTATTGTTATTTACTACGTCGATTCCGATCTTACCATCCAGGGAGCCGAACGGAACCTATGTAACCCAGTCGCTGTTTTCATGCCCCCATGCTAGGGTCTTCGTTTGACCACCATTGACCTTTCCCATCTAGTACCTACCTCGGTAAACCAACGTAACCTAAGGAGGTCGACCACATGCTCCAGTGGGTGACCGCGGTTATCTAAAAATTCACGCCTACCCTCAGCATTTCTTGTCCGGTTTATCCACAAGACCCATGTCGCGACGGCGCCACGAATGTCTCAATTCGGCAAATACCAATCGAGCCTTCGGTATGCGAGGTGACACTTCATCCGTGATGCGTCCACAGGGTGAGATGTAGCTGCCCAAATAACAAAACTTATCCATTTGCTCTCATACTTTTCCAGTTAGAATGAGGTCGAGAACTGGACCAACCAAGTCTTGTATCAGCTGTACACCTTGAAGATGCAAAACGCGTGTCAAACCGAACTACACTAGCACCCAAACTGCGCAGAAACGCTTGCAACCTGCCTGGATCTTTACTTAGCAGTACAATATCGTCTGTATACTCCAGATCAGATAGTCTACGACCTTGAAGTAGATCGATGCCACTAACCTCGCACGACCACTCCGGACGTACAGCCCATGTCTGAAAGGATGTACGACACAACCGACCCCTAATGGATTATAAATTTCAGGAACTGGGACAAATTAACCGGTGAGTTAAACTATTCCGTCGGTGTTGCGTCGGGTAGCTCCAGTTAACTCTGATTTGGGTGACAAAAACCTAAAACCAAACGTGATCTGAATGTATGCACACAGCTGATGAGATTACCACGAAATAGTTGAATTCAACACATCCTGTGATCATGATGCTTCTTCTTGCTCTCATGAAATTGTTAAAGGGAACTGGTTGCATGAAAACCTAAAAGTCTACTACGAAACCGAAACTGTGCATAGTGAATCGCGTGCGCACCGGTGTGAGTTCGTCAGGCTTTCTTTACCTAGCTCAAGCTGATGAATAAATGAATAAATTGCATATATATATATATATATATATATAATGTACCATTCAGTAGGATTGATTGAAATACTATCACTGATATCACTTTCAACAAACTTTAGGAATTATGCATC